GGTAGTTGCATTGTCTTCAACTGAGGCTGAATACATTGCAGCCACTAAGGCTGTAAAGGAAGGGCTATGGTTGAAAGGTCTACTAGTTGAACTAGGACTTGTAGAAAATTAGGTGTAGCTATGTTCTGATAACCAAAGTGCAATATTTTTGAGTAAAAACCCAATTTTTCATGATAGGTACAAGCATATAGATGTTAAGTTTCATTTTCTCAGGGATATAATTGATAAAGGTGATATTAAGTTGGTCAAAATACCAACTCAGGTAAATCCTGCAGATGCAGAAACCAAGGTAATACCTATAAATTAATTTTCAGATTCTTTAAGGTTATTATTGACAAACTTTCTATTTTTGTAAGGTAATAAGAGCAAATGAAATTTTGGTCTAAGTTTTAAATCCACGAAGTACCGTCTCAAAATGCGATAAAAGGTGGAGATTGTAAGTTGTTTGCTGATTTTGATGGAGGCCCAATCATGTTTTGTTTCTCTGGCCCAAGTTCTTTTTGGCCCATATCCGAATCTAACAAATGGAAGAATTTGGAATGGTGAAAATTATATTACTTCAAGGGCTTTTTTGCAATTAAGTGGGAGACTTTTCAATTAGGTTTAGAAGACTTCTTATTTTCATTCTCTTGTGTGCAGCAGCTTCCTTCTTTTTCATATTCTCCCTGTAAATTGATCTCTAATTTTCTATGTGAATTTTTGGTGAGATAGGAGAGTAAAGTGATGAACTCTTGTGTGAGTTCATGAGAGTTGTGGAAGGATTGTGTGATTTTCTGCTATTTTGTGACCGTGTACTGTAACTCGATCATTTGCCTATTTTGGGCGGTTTCTAGTGGATTTGAGCTTATTCCTAACGGATGCTCAACGGGGATTAGACGTTAGAAGTAGTTGCCGAACTTCGGGGCCTTTAGGCCAAAAATTCTTATATTGATTCTTGTTATTTTTTGGTGGTTTCTTTTCTGTGTTTATTTACAAATCGAAACCACAAACTCGTTTGGGACCAACAATCACAAATAATTACAAGTTACACAGATCAGGTCATAAACAGTCACAGTTAAATAGAATATGGTCACATACATCATAAAATACAAAACCTAGTCATATACAGCACAAAACCTGATCATAATTTATTCTTTTTATTAGTAATAATTTACCAATAGTTGGTCACGACCATTTTTTATTCGACCTATAAAGAGAGAAGTCTAGAAAAAATTACAAACAAGATTAGGAGTCAGCAAAGTGGAGATAAGAGAAACTTAATCAAGCAACCAAACAACACATGTCAATAATTGTCGAAAAATCCTAAGGTTTAGCCTATGTAGAGTGAAGGAAAAATATCCCATCTAGCAAAGATAAGAAGAAAATGAATCAATGAACAATATTAACATTTAGAAATGTCACTATATAGTAAAAATTTACTACAAGCATGGACATTTGTGGACTTAGATCCAAAAAACAAAATCGAAAAACAACAATGTACATAGGCCTTACAAAGAAAAAAATTACAATGTAACAATTTTGCTCATAAACTCTGGAGTCCTTATGTGTTGGCCGAAGTTGTGTTCATAAACACTTGTAGAAAAAGGGGACAAGGTTGTAAACCAAAATAACTACAAATATTATGAGGTATATGGCTGAAAAGAGTCCCTTTTTTAAAGAATTCGTAAAACAGTAAAGGGACTTCTAACCACAAACAACACCCCAAAATTTTCACCACATTTCGGCTATTGATTTGCGAAACAATTTTTTCTTCATTCATAAAATGCTAAAATCGCCTTTGATCACTATATGATTTCTTAATGGAAACCATTGTAATATCGTGTAAAATTACCTTGTAAAGTGTTCTAGTACTCCATTCGTTGTTGATCATGTTTCTTTTGTTGTAGTTGTATGTGGCCCTATGACATCTTTTGCAATAATTGTTCCATTTTCCTTGAAAAACTCATCTCTTCTTTTTTATTTGAGAAACTAATGAAAAATGTGCTAAATCTTTAATGGATTTTATGTTCTCCAAGCATTATAGAACAGACAGGTAGAATAGATCTACCTTCAAGGCTTGTGATAGTCACTTGTCGTGAAGTGGAGAACTAAATCTCAACTTGGAACTAGCTATGTCAACGAGCCGAGCTAAAAAAAAAAAAAAAGATCTGGCTCGGCTCGAGCTTTTTGGATTTTTTTTTTTAATAAAAATTGAAGGCTGCACAGGCAGCTGGTTACTACCTGTTGCAGCTTGAGCTGCCTGCAAAGGCAGCTCTAAATAATGGGCAGGCTCGCCGCCCAGGCCAGAGCCGACGCCCCCAAATGGGCTCGGCTCGAGCTTTTTCGGGCCAATCCTGAGCCGTCCGAGTCGACGAGCATTTTTGTCATCCCTACTTGGAACTAAGATTTGAAGAATTAGAGCTAACATTATTGTTCCGAACAATTTCTCGATGTCTCTCTCCGTAGAGTGGCTTCAACAGGCCTTTCCCAATTGTCATACGCAATTGAACCAAATTCTTGATTGTTCATTTTGAAGGATCTACTAGAAAGAGATTGGGATGGGTACGATTGATTGGAGAAGTGGTATAAATAGAGATCTACTGGATTGGGGTAGGTATGATGGATTGGGATATTTATGTAGAGAAAGATTTTGTGTAGAGTTATGGTGGAATTGAGTTTTCTAAATTCCATACATAATAATAGCTTATAGATAAATGTAATATATTATTGTTATGGTGTATTTTTAAGTTTGCTAAATGTGAAATTGTATATTTAATATATTGAAGTTTTTTCCAAATAAAAATGGACTTTGCTTTCCCAATAGCAACTCAGGCTTGGCCTCATAATAGGGATGTCAACAACCGGTTCACGAGTAGAAACTTGAGGTCTGAGCTCAACTCGAGTAAAAATGATTCGAGTTTTTTGGCCCAAGTCGAACTGAGCCGAGCTGGCTCACGTATTTTTATTTTATTTTATTTTATATTTATAAATATCAACAAAGGCATTGAGCAATTGTTGTGTACGCTTGCAAGTATGGTTTTATTTCCTATCCTACATATATAAAAAGAGTGAAGATAGGTATCACTGTAGAAACTCTCGTCTGTACAAAACAACGTCGTTTTGGCTTTCTCAGTTTTTGGCCTTTTTTGTTTTTTTT